TCCTTATAATGTCGCTTAGCAGCTTACCACAAGACAAAAGATACAGCTGAAAACACAGCTAACGTGATTTTTAAAGGAATTATATGTTAAAGAGTATTAATACACATCTTTACATTAGCAAGACTAAGAATTTAGAACATAAAATTTGGCAACATAAATCAGTAGCAAAGTTTTGCCCTGGTTATTGTTATGTCTAGTTCTGCATGTAGTTAGAGAGTAATTTTGTATTCCCGTGAGGCTTCTGGTTTTGGTTGCTGTACAACATAAAGCAATGGCCAAGACACCACGGTAAAAAGAGGACAGGACTGATGTGGTGTGAGAGATTTTTGCACTTTGGGTCTGACGGGGCAGACCAGTCATGCTGGGCATGGAGGTTGTTTCTGCTGTAGTTTGGCTGAGGAATGAAGCTGGAAAAGTCTCCAGAAATGGCCAAATTCACCTCATTTTCCCAGTCCTTCCCTGTATGGTGTGCTTAAACGGGCATTTCTTTCAGGAAAATTGTTAGGCATTGATGGCACATAGTTGCTGCCACTGCCTGCCCCTATGCAGAGCACAAAAGAAAAAAAAAATACAGGAATAGGCAACACTCAGGAAGGGATTGAGCYCATTGATCAATGGCCCAAATGACCCCAGCCATTGATCAATGATGATTCAAACATAAGTGAGCACAACTGCTGACAAGGCATTTTTTTTCCTCTCAGTCTCCACCGTCTACTTAATGCCAAATCAGATTTGCTGAAATAAATAATTCAGAAATAAAATCCAGACCCAGTGTATGGAATAATGGGAAGTTCAAGAATGACAGGATCAATGCGTTTTCTGTTGACTGTTGTTAAACAACAATGACTGTTGTTTAAATGGTAGCAAGGCTGTATTGTTACTGCTGAACAATAAAACCTGGATTACATCTGGAAGTGCATATCAGAGGCATCTACTAGTACCTGGGAAAACAGATTGTTTCTTGAAAAATACCTTTGTATCATAAATGCATGTTAAACCCAAATGAATGCCTCAGGTACTTTTTTCTTGCGATATTTTCTGCTTCTTTACTTACTTTTATCTTTACATCTTCCATTTTCCTAAGGAGAAAAAAAAAAATCTGCAAAAGAAATTCATGAAAATGACTGCAATTACTGATTCTGGAACATGAAATAGAACTTCCTTGAAATACTTTGGGATCTTTGAGTGCCTCTGGACAGATTTTAAAAGAAATCATGGGTTTTAGATACTTAAATGCCTTTAAAAGTCTACCCCATTGGTTCTGCATAAAACAAAACATGGGCTCTTTTTTGTTGTTGTTGTTGTTTTGKTTTTTGGTTTTTGTTTCCCCTGCATATGGYGATTTTATTTAGACACATTTAAAGTATATCTGCGTCTCAATTATGGAAAAATCTGAGCAGATATTGCTTCTTCCCATCTGGGTAAACTTTAAGTAAACCTCATATTTTACTGAATACACTGAATATAATTTTGCTTTTGCTCCTGGCAGTTGTAAATTTACCCTTTTCTTCCAGCAGTAGAATATACCTGACAGTAAAGGTTGGCGCCCTTACAGTAGCAGAAAGGGGGTCTTGTTGCCCCACTAAGCTGAATTCTCCACAGAACAGAAAGACAAGGGCAAATTCTGCTTCGCTCTCTTGAAAACTGACCGAGTTGCATTTTTATCTYGCTTTACTACACCCTGCCTATAGAATAAACTGAGATTGGCTCAGCCATACCATAAAACTATGGAGCTGAGATACGCTGTGTTCATTTAAATTTTCCTCATGGAAAGAATAAATGTAAGCTTTGTGACTCACCGCAGTTCCACCTATGCATTAAAACAGCCCTTACCTAAGTCTGAAATTGTGCAGCATGAGCGTATCTGGGCTATCCATATAGGGAGATGCATGTGTGCATGAGCGGTGCTTGATTTATCTGGAGATAAGCAAACAGAAATGGCTAGGCTGCGTTCTCTCATTTAGTATGAGAAAATATATGGGCTTTCTTTTTGCTTTTTGTGTTATTGCTTTCATTAAATATAAATTTTCTTCGTTAGGTATAAATTTTCTTCATTAAATATAAATTTTCTTCTTTGTTAAATATGGTTTTTCTGCCAGCAGTGTCCCAGGAATTCTTCCTCCCTAGGGGTGTGTGGCCTGCAAGCTCTGAAGCAGGAGATGGGGGCGGACGGTGCCTCCACTGGTGCCCCATTTAAAAGGATGTCCCTTTGGGTTTGTGTGGGCAAGCACTGAGGTGAAAGAGTCTTTTCAGTTTTGCCCCAAAGAGCCGAATCAAACGCGTCGCTTSGGGACACGCATTTCGCTCGGTTTTATCAGTCTCACTCTGGCTCGAAGGTCTTACAGGACCTTCCTCTCCTCTTCTACAGGCCGGCAACTCGTGCAAGATGTAACAGTTCCCTTTCTGGTCACTTTATAGCAGAAGCATGAAACCTAAGCTCCACACACGTAAGGTTGTTTTTCAGGTAAAGATTCATCCTTTTTGATAGACAAGAATCTGACCTTCGGTGGCTGGAATTTCTGCAGGAGGTTCCGTCTGAGCTTCTTTACTTTGCGCGGATGAGCTGCTTATTTCTGGATACGATTGTATTCCATAGGAGGCCGCAGGAAAAGCAGCGGGACACACTGCTCGCGTGGGCTCCTCGGGGAGCTCCTCAAGCTCCGTGTCGCTGTGTAAGGCAGCCTGCCAAGGAGCTGAGCGCCCAGCAGCCCCAGGGGACCGTCCCCGTCCCCGTGGGCTCTGCAGGGCCAACACTGAGAGCTCAGATTCCCCGCGAGCCGCAGCAGAAACTGTCGCTCATCTSCACTTTCCCAGTTGCAGGAAGGAAGGGGAGCGCGGATCCACTAAGCGGCAGCACTAGGCGTCAGCTCTGCCACCTTCCTTGACTTATTGCTTTATATGTGCGAAACTTTAAATATAAATTGCTACCCACTGACAGTCTCCTAGGTCTATTTTTTGGCTTGCATGGCTGGATTTAATCGTTTTCAGGACAGGTGGATGTACTCCCTGTTGGAGAATCTAGGAGTATTCTTTCCAAGACACTTTCCCTGGTGGGCCCAGGTTCGCATTCATCGGAAATTTCCACCTGAACGTGTTTTACGGATAATAATGTCAATTTACCAATAGAAAAAGTCATTGTGTCAGGTATTGCTCAGACCACTCCACACTTCTTCAGTGCACGCGCTGTCCCACAAACCGTATCACCTTTCACACATAAATAAGCTGCACCGATTTCAGATTCCACAACATCCAGGATGGAAAGCTCCCTTTTTAGGCCTATGTCCAGAGTGTAAAGATAATGTATTTCCATTTGTTTTGCAGGAGAGCTTAAAATTCATCTCTGAAGCCTGATTAAGATGTTCATAGGCTGTGCTTTACATACCACRGCAGCAGGGTTACAGTCTCCTGCGAGCCCGGCTGGATTAATTAATAAGTGAATCACTAGAGCTGTCAACTTATATGTCAAAAACACAAAGGTTTATATTCAGTTGGCAAAGACGCCCGTGCTCTCCACAAACATGTCCTCACACATTTCCAGTATCATCTCATAATTCCRCAATGTTTATTAGGGATTTTGATCATTCAGAAAACCACCAAAAACCAGATTCATTGTTTTGAGGCAGACTTGCTTCAGAAAGGTAAATGCGAGGAGACATATATGAGGTATTGAAGCCAAATAACAGCTTGTAGCAAAATTCCCAAGCAAATTCCAGTGCTGCCCCAGCTGCATTCCTGAGAAGTTGTTATCTATATATGGTGACGGCATGAAGCTGCTTAGGTACTTTTCCTGCAGACTGAAGCACAGGAAGTGCTGGAAACAGAAAAATCTGAGCATGTGTAGATCATTTTTTTGGGGGGGCTCTCCTGCTTCTGGAAAAGCAGCAATAATATCTCATTTGCAGCAATAATCCATCAGYTGCGATGATGCATTCCTGAAATGGGCTGTATGGATCCTACTGCAGGGTAGTTATGGCTTTTTTGGCAACTTCACTTCAGAGGTGGGAAAGAAAACAACCTAAAGTAGTCTGAAAGTTGACAGCTTTCAAAGAGAAAGGTATGCCCATGAAGAGTATTGCTCCTCCCAAAAGCGAAAGCAAGTGACTTTACTTGCTACGGAAAGCTTTCTCACAGAGCTGCTGTATTTTTTAAMGTAAATGATTATCATTTGAAATTGTGCAGGTCACCAAATCAGTAAAAAAAATCCTTAGTTGTGGTCTTCACATGTTCTCCAGTGGCTTCTGTTCACCCTAGAGGAGCCAAAGCGTAACGCTGTAGGAATCATCTTTATTTGCACTAGAGTTAGGACAACGTGAATATGTCTCATACCAGAGCCTTCTTTCTTTTCTTTTTTTTTGTAAAAAAAAAGTCAGGGCATGTGTTTCAGACAGAATAACATGTTGGCTTTTTTTTGCTTCAAAACTTCATGCCAAGAGGGCA